TGGTTGTGTCAGTTGCAGTGCAGCTATTAAAATGCACCTGGCGTTCTGTAGGACCGTTTTAGCTGAGCTGCCTATCTTATCTTTCCCATATTTTTATCCACTTCCCTCTTCGTCCCTCGGAAGTGATGTTAGCATTGCCAATTAAGGCTGGCCGGGGTTCTGAGGATACGGAATCGTTGCATCAAATCTGTTATAAATCATTCTACAAATGTGAGGTGGCAGAAGAGCGTGAGATCCAGGAAAAGTGCAGACTACTTTTTAAGGTGAACTCAGTAGCAGTGTTGTAAAAGAGCACCTATTCTTGATGAAGTTAACGTTCCTGTCAATGCAGATACGCTGAGTTGAGATAAGCTTAAAGAAGCAAGTCTAAGTGGTAGTAAGTTTCTAGGTGAGAGGTAATGAGAGAACTGGTTCACACATCTACCTGCAATGGGTGAGAAGAAAAGGCTGTGGAGACCGGACCAATTGGTGTTGCATATATCAACACACGAGAAGGGATTTCAAGGACATCCACCTCGTTCTGTTTCGGAGCTTCCTCCTCCAAAACCAAGGAAGCATAACGTTGCTGGGTGGATTGCTTGCTTGTTTTAAGAAATGGCCTTGTATTTAAAAGTAAGTAGAATAGAAGATTAAGTGGGAAGGAAGTCAACCACTTCTTTAAAACGGCACCACCGGACATTGCAAAGACTTGAGTACAAGGACAGTCCTGTCTCATCTAGGATATGGGAGGGCAGGTAGCACTACCTCCGTACCATACTCACTCACCCACCCTGGAGTAGTCGCTTCCAATTGTATTTCACCACCTCATGACTGCCTCACACTGTCTCGACATTGGGGTAGCCTGCTGATCATAAACCAAAGGCCAACCACCAAGAGGAATGGACATAGTGAAATCAAGAATTCAGGTGATGTAGTTGACAAAAAAGGATGTGATGGGGTGGTTCCTGTTCTTCACTTGGCGAGTCTAGAAAAAAACCGCATTACGACATTGTGCTGCTCCTGTCTCACCTGGCGAGTGTTTGCGGTATGTCGTCAGAGTGACCTTGAGACAGCCTAAAACATTCCCCTTTGTTTTCTGTGCTTCCCGTTTTACTGCTTTTCTTATCTTCATAACTCTGCAATCTTCAGCATGCCATTTTTTTACAAACAAATGACTTTGCGGTTTGTAGCTTCTCACCAATCTGAGCGTTATTTGCTAATGAATTTTCCTCATCGTTTCGCCTGATATTTCCAAAAGGTGTTCTAAGCTTAACGAGGATTTGGTTGTCAAAGATTTGGAAAGTGTCAGACAGCTTCGTGATTCCTCTTTCCCCAACCCTCATCGCCGCTTTGCAGTGTCACTTAAAGTACCCCACTTGAACATAAAATGGACTACACAAGGCGCACTCTTTAGGGCTACTTTCCAAATCGTTGAGGCTGGAGCAGTTGAGTTTAAGGAACTGGGTCTTTGGGGGCAAATTTACTGACAGCGATGGCGCAACCATAAATTTTACTTTCCTATGCTTTTGCACTAATGCGTGTGAAATTAGGGAAAACAGGAGCAATGATAAGTTTTGTAAGACCACTTGTTGGTTTTGTTTTATTAAGCAGTTTAAAACTACTCTCAACTGCTACCAGTTAAACAAACTCAGGCCCACGTCTTTTAAGTAGATCAAGGTAGTGCCTTCAAATGTTTATCCATTCTACTTTCATTAAAACTGCTCCAATGACACCAAAAAAGCACATTTGAGCCTTATTTCCTACCTATAATGTGTGGATGTCAGCCAGTCGGTTAGAATGTGGCAATGTAAACCACAGTGCGAATTTGAAAGCAGCTGGCGGCTATGGTAAAAGACAGTTATCTTTTCAGAGAAATTTTGAATTCCTAAGCCATAGTAGTTATCTAGTCATCTTCATTTTTTGTAGTTTTTTAATTTTGTGCGTAAAAGATTTGATTGTCAAACGGAAACACCTCGTTTAAACAAAAGGTTGTTGTTGTGGCGGTTTATTGATGTACATGAAAAGGTGTTAGTTCCACACTAAATCTTTTTGACTTCAACCAAAGATCAGGAAATGTTTGTCATTAATCAGTGTAATTGAATATTGTCTCACTGGTATAAGTGTACAACGTATCAGAAAAGATGGCCTGCTTTGCAGAAAAAGCAGCTCTCCTTTGCGTTATTTTACCGTGGTCTCCACGCCTCCACTTCATCTTCATTTCCTCCCCTCTCCTCTCCTCCTTTTCCCTTCCCTCGCGTAATAGCCTGTAACATCGTGTGATGCATCTGTCTTAAAGTTATTCAGCATCTGAGAATCCAAATGGTTCTCCTGCTTCTGTGTGGTCAACCGTTGTACTGCCACACCTCCTCCAAAGACTAATTTGACGAGAAGGGGCCTCCCCATTCTTTGAAAGGCGTGGAGTGTATTTCATAAAGCAAAACTGGCTGGAATGATAGATGACATTCTTTTAAACTGGAGGAAAAATGTTAGGGAACCCGACCAAAGATATCATACTGATCAACTGGTGCTCCTCCATGCTCTATCATGCTTGCGTATATAGCAGGTAGACCGGATTTTACATGTCCCTGCAAGTTACAAGTAGCCAATCAAATACTCCCATGACAGAATATTATGGAGGAGAGAGAGAGTCGAGATCCTTTTAATATCCCATCACCAGTATCCTGCAAGCCACTTTAATTTGATTTCCCCATCGGGAAGATATTTTAGTCGAACTCATGTACAGCGGCTGCGTTATTACATCGGAGCATTAAAAGCCACTTTCACTGGACACTGAATTATTGGTGCATTCAGCACCACCTGGGCAGCCATAGTAGTCAAACGTCCCGTTAAAATACCTCTCATCACCATGACACCCAAGCACGAGCAAACATACACCTTTTTTAAAGCGAAAAACCAAAAAGTCCCATCAACGCTCCAAAGCGCCAAACGAAACCTTCGCGGCATTTAGAAAACACTGTGGAAGATGTCCGTTAATGGGATAGCGTGCTATTCTCTGCTACTGTACCGAGAGTCAATCTTGGCTATAATAGTGGGTAGACAGTACGTTTCAGCAAAATTTGCATCCTTTTCTGTAAAATATGTGCGCCTTTTTACCTCTTTTCTTTAAAACAAATAGCTAAAATTGTGGGTAACAAATAGGTATTTCTACACATGAATGGGGTTTCCCTGATGCCTATTAATTTGCTACATAAAATAAAAGAGGACGAGATCATGAATTTAGTGGGTGATTGACATATAATAAGTTGATCTGCCTTTTTTTTGGAGGAATATGTCTACATTCCTAACTTTTCATTGTGGAGATTTGTCAATGAGATACCTTTTGGTAAGGCGGCCAAAAGAGTTCGCGGTGTTCAAGGTACCACCCTAGGTAGTGATTCGCTGTCACCAGTAAGTCCTTCTAAAATCCGTTTTCCTAATTAAAAAGCACAAAAAGCCCCATGAGGATATACTTTTATCACCTTCCCTCAAGTAAAATGTCGGTAAACTCAGTGGGTGGGATGCCATCTTTTCTGCTTTATGGAAGAAATCTGACCCTCTTTCGAGGATGGCAAAGCTCCTCGTCATCATTATAGTTTTGATCATGCTGCCCTTTGGAAAAGCGGCAGTGAAACAGCTGGCCTATCAGTAATAGTTCAAATCATTTGGACTTCAGGTGCTGAGCCACCCAAAGACTGATGCATGGCACGAGGGAAGAGGAGAGGAGATGTGCCAGGAGCAGTTAATCTTGCGTAATGTTGTAAGGGATCAAATAAGTGGATTTCATCAGCATTAGCTAGGAGGCCGAGGTTATGGCGACGGTGATTAACCAAGTAAAAGGCACAATTTGGGGAGGAGAAGGGATTTAGACGTCAGGGGATGAATAGAAAGGCACGAAAATGATGACCTTTAAATCCTATCAACTTGTTGTTTAGGACTCGCTTGAATTAGGCTGCCTGCTGACCGACTGACCTACTGGCATGTGAGAATAGGAGCGACTTAACATATCATTAACTATCTCCACACAATCTACTACTCAACCGTGAACCTCAAGAATCCAAGACATTAACCCTTCTAGCCCAGGCAACTCTACTTGCTCTATGCGCGAGCACTTGGTGGACTGTCGGGTAGTTGTATGGCACCCGCGGAGGATCGACTCTGCACGACATAACCGGATTGTGAACGAGATAGGTAATTCCTCTTGAGTAACAGATAGGCCAAGTGAATTAGTGGGAAGAAGGTCGTAATCTTGTCCGACTTCAGGCCCAAAACACCCACCCACCACCCCTTTACCTTAGGAGGGGAGAGAAGAGAGAAAGGGAGGCAAGGATTAACCCTCACCCTAGTTCACATCTCCAACATTAGCTGTTGATAAATATCTAATGCACTATTTCTCCATTTGACAGTAGAAAAGGAAAACTCATGACAGTCATCAATGGAGGTGGCTGCATGTATTCCGCTGAACTCCAGACCTCACCAGTTTGTGTCTCAAGTCTTATGAGATGCGGTTGTTTGTTGCATGAGACTTTTCAAAGTTAAAAGACGTTTTGCAAAATAAAATAAAATTCAGGCAAGCATGCATGATTACTTTTGAGTCACCTTGTTCTACAATCTGGTCTGTTATAATATACCTCTACGGCACGACAAGTAGGCTATAATTAGGGTATACAAATTGATAACTCAAAGCTGAGCAGTAAAGCCAGCCATATTAGTTTATTGTTTGCTTTTTACAACCGCAGTTGAAAAAAGTCGTGTTTGAGGATAAACTAGAAGGTCATTGTGGGCCCATTGTAGTGATCGCCTCTCCCACTTGTTTTGCTTGCCAAAGTTTCGCCGTTTTAATGCTAACCAGCGTTTCGCCAGAACCCGTTAAACTGAAAAGGACCTGTGCTTTATGATCTGATGCCTATCAGCCCGTAAGCAAGCGCGCAGCCTTGGATTTGTCCTACACGAAGTCAGAGAAGGCTTAAAACGCACCCAGAGCCATTTCATTAGCTCATTTTCAGACCTCAAAGGCGCAGAATCTAACCTCCACAACTGTCGTAAAGAGTTGAATCTAGGGTGTTGTCTAAGCCACGATCACTTTTAGCAGTCGATTTGATATCCATGAAGCGAATCAAAGCTGAAGCCACCTCAGGCTTGAAGGATCCCTCTCCAGGTTCTGCGTTAATCACCCAGGATCGTGCGAGCATCCCATGCGTTGGCCAAATGTGTACAGGAATGACTGCTAAGTCTTTGGTCCGGGAAGCATGGCGGGGGAAGAGGAACGTCCTTGATAGAGTGAAACGTGCATATCCAATGGTGTTGGGCCCCTCCGTTATCACACGCATGTCCACGCAGTCCCAGCTTTTGTTGTCATTCGCCTTGATTAATGGTGTCTGGACCATTCCATACACATCAAACGCGCCAAACTGTTGGCAAGTTGTGAGGTACAGACCTTCGCCTTTCTGTTGGATGTAGTATCACCACAATAGTGTCTCCTTTCGTGTCCTGACCATGGAAAGTTCCGGTTTGACATGATTAATGACAAAATGCCTTTGTAGTTTAGCGGATTGAAAAAAAAAAACAACACTTAAGAAAGAAGAGAATGACAAAATTTAGACGTTCTCTGTGCCAAGAAGGCATAAAACCCTTTGGTCGTAAAAGAGTGGTGAGTATCTAACAAAATGACAGCAAAAGCTAAGAAGTCGGCGCTAATATACCCCCGTCTCCACCACCACCACCAAAAATGTGTGACATGTTGGCTTTTCTACTTCTTTTTCCTCTTCTTCCCTTTAGCTATAAATATTCCCTTAAGAAATGAAATAATTTGGCGACACAGTCGTTGGCTGAAATCATCATAGAAGAGCTGAGAGGAGATCAAATCTTCATCACTTTCATTTTTCCCTCTCTGTCCAAAGTAAGGCGTGACATCTCCAGCTTTGTATCTAACCAATTGGATGGTTGTATTCGTTGTGAAGAGATAAGTATAAATGCGAGATGATGAATCATTGTCCCTCACTTTCCTCATAACTACCCAAGCTAGAGTCGAGGTAAAGTGTTTACATGTGCGACACATAATAGAAGGGAAAAAGAAGGAAGTAGAAGGCAGGCTTTTCCTCCAGAAGCAATAAACAGTTGGAGATGAATGGGGAATTTTCCAGCTCATTTTTCTAATGTTAAGTTAACTTTCTTTGGGGCGTTGAAGATCAGCTCTTAACCGCCTCTTTCTGACAGTCCCATGTTGACCACACAGAATCGTAGTGGAGGGGCTCGTAAGCATAAATGCCGGAGGGTCAAAGTAGGTGACCTCCAACTCCCACCCTTACCCACCCTCTCTGTGTTAGTTCCAACGCCCGTCGCTGTTACGCCGCCGCACCTGTGGACACCAGCGTGTCCAGTCGCAGGTGAGGGGCTCGAAGATCACTCGGTCATTTGTCAGTCGTGGAGGCCCCCACTTGAGCGATAATTATGAACGTCAAAATAGATTTTTATAGCCGATCGGTTTTAGTTTTTTGTGACAAGAGGGGAACTCAATCTTCACTGGTCGAACCACGCCTCAATGGGTCTGATAAAGAAGTTCCTTCCAACCTAATTCTCTTCCAGCTCACCCGAATTCCCAGATCCAATTGGACTGGTTACTTTCTGCTAGTCACCATGACGACTTGTGAACACTGCGGTGCGAAAAAGGGACAAAAACGGCCACTTAACATGGTATTTTTTTAACCTCATAGTTTAATCTGAATAAGGTATATATTTGTCTGTCACATTAACGCGAAAAACGAGAAAAAAATGTTTCCCCCCTTATTTTTCCTCAAACTTGAGTGTCACCCTCGCCTTCCGCTAGCAGGAGTTTTGACTCAACCGCTCCTTTTTTGCTTCACAGGATGTGGAGGTATTCTGGAGACATAAAAATACGGGAAAACAAATTTCAGCTTTATTCCCTCTCCTGCCATTTGTTTTAGGTAAGCTAAGGGACATTTTTTTTAAAAAGCCATTGTGCTGCCAAAATCTAAAGGAGGCTTTGCTCTTTTGAGCGATATTTTTGTCTTAATCCAACTCGGTAGGTAATGAAAAGCATAATGAGGGTCACTTGAGGAGGAGGATGAACATCCTTCCACATTCAAAATTCTTCAAATCTCCTATATTAGATGAAAGAGACAAAGTAGCATGACAACTACGCTGAAGGGTATGACGGAGTCGAGTTACAATGCTGGGTGACATGTATCGTATCTCTGCTTGGATTATTTGAGGTCTCAATGAATTTCGCCTTATATGCATTTTAAATGTCAAAGAAAACTCTTTAACTGACTGGTAGCCCCGAAGATTTATTCTGTCATAGAATGACTAGTCACATTCTCCAATCACTGATGCGAAAGAGGCAGAGTAAAGTAAGAGGCAAGGGGCAAGGGGCTGATAGTTCCACTCGAAGGCGTTTCACTTCTTCACGGATCTACACAGAACGCACCAGGCAGCTGTTGCCACTACCACGTGATTTTAGCATTAGCCTTGTCAGTAAATCACCTCTAGTCGGGCATGGCATGTGACGCCACAAATTAGTGGTGGCACGAAGCGGGAGGAGGAGGAGGAAGAGGATATGTCTGTTGCTAACATCTTCATTTTCCCTAAGTATTCACTAGGAAGCAAAAGAATTTGCGATTTGCGTGCATAAAGCACCAGAACATAAAGTAAGGCGTTGGCCACCAGTGTCACATGCATGTGACAGGCATACTTCAATTCATGATAACTGTGGATGCATCAAGCCATATTGCAACCACAAATTATTTCATTATTAAAGGTAAAAGAGAGGTAAAACACGCCCTAAGTCACCTAACTTATAATAGAGTTCTGTTGAAAAGCTTGCTAGTCGACTTTTCTGCCAGGACCCTGACATAATAACCACCTTTTCTCCTCAAGTGCATAGAACGGAAGGGTGACTGCCACCATTAATTTTATGCATAGCATAAGTTGCCTGAAATAATGTGCCCAACGAAAGACAAATTCTCTTTAAAAATAATAAGTTATAATTCTACCATATATGACAGAAATTCTGAGCTTATCAGCAATTCAAAAATTATTTAAAAAGCAGTTTTGACGTTTTATCTTCTCTTTTTGGCAAAGAGGTGTCGTAATTATCCAATCACTTAATTCAAAATGGTAAAGGCCATCTTGGGGTTAGCTGACAGTTTTTCCAAAACATCTGTTCATAGTTTAAAAGTAATGTACCGCATTCTTGTTTGAATGCGCCCTGTGTGGGTGGCAAGTAGGCAAATCTAATCAATCTTGTGTTTCGCGAAACGCCATTAGTCCCCGTCGGGGAGCGATGGAGGATGAAGAGGAGAAGGTGAAGAAAGATGAGGAGGGGACAAATTCCAATTTCCCCTCCCCTCCCCCTAAAGCTCCGGATCATTTGTAGACTATTACATCACCACCACACTACTGGATGTCTTCCTTTAACCGAAGGTAGAAGAGAAGAGAACTGTGGAAGTGCCTTCTTCCAATATTACCAAAAGAATGTAAGTCATTCGAGAAAGTTTCGGTTATTCTCATGGAATATGTTTTCAAAAATTATGTAAAGATAATTATTTCTTTTTAATTTTGGGACGATATCCACAAGACAAAAAAATGACAACTCTTAGGCAACAGAAAAGAAGTTCGTGAGGTTTTCTGCCCACCCCGCCGAGGTGAGGGCTCGTTGCAACTGGCAGGGACCCGTTGCATCCGCGCAAGGAGTCACGTCAATCTGTTGATAGGTACGGTATTCATGATCGCACTCTTTACCAGTTTCTTCTTAGTTTGAATTAATTGAATGTGAGTGGAGTTTCCCGACTCTAGGAAGTGTTTTCCAAGAGGGGAGAGACCTCTGCTTAAACATGGATGGGGACGGCAGTAGTGGAACCCACTAATCAGGAATGAACTGAGTAAATACTTTGTGCCTGGCAAGAAGTGAATCAAAAAGAATGAAGAGATTAAGCCGTCAGGCACTTCTGCCCTTTAAGTTGCCTCCCGACTGACTGACCTAAAGTAAGGAGCGAGGATTCCATTGGTTAGCTTTCTATCATTTCATCTGACTACTCCTCTACGTAACCAGCTTCAAACTGACCCCAGGTTATCATTCAAGCAACTCGACAGTGGTAACAGAATGGTACTGGAAGGTTGGGTTCAAGGGGGTGGTTTTATGAGGTTACCTTGGAATTTAATGGCTGTGTCATTACAAAAGTTGGATTTATTAGAAAAACAGTGCAAATCAAACACCCCAGTCACTACTTTTGGGCACTTAGTCAGAAAAGGGAAACAGGTAGGTTCAGAAAAGAGGAAATTCCAGCCTTTGCCACCTCCTGTGGGACTATGTGACCGTCTGCTGTCAGAAAAATGACAAATGCTTTGCATATCCGAAATGCGGATGGTGGAGGTGGAAGGTCTAAAGACAGGAGCGAGTAACTCTACTCCTCACAGTAAGCTACACACAGGGCAGCTTTAATAGTAGAGAGTTTAAGTGGAAGCGCTGGCATGTGATTTGGAGATTAAAACTGATCTGTTGGAGGTAACCTTTTGGCATAGACTTTGAAGCCTATTAATTGGATTTCACGTCACAAATATGTGACACGCGTTTTCAGTCAGTTTGAAGCACAGGCATGTGACGCATTTCACTGCAAACGGACTGCCTCATTGTAAGCTTGCTCGGTTAGTCGTATCAGGAATGTACCCTAAGTAAACTCGTGGCATCCTCCACCAAGAAAGCCATCTCAGCCTCTGTGATGGTTGATTGCCTCCCGTGGTGTTGACACTGAGCGTATTTTAATGTCTCCAGAGGTTTTGACACCCTCTGGGAAGTCCCCTTCTAATCTTAACCGCAATGAACATAATGATGCTGAACCACATCACCATATAATTATGGCGTGGGAGAGTTGACCATCAGAATCCACATACGATGGGCTCTCAATCAAATTATTCGACTAGGAGGGCGACTCTTTTATCCATCTGCAGTCAAATGATGTGTGGATGCAACACGGCTTGACTAATCTACTGTTGTTATGATCCGATGTAGCACACAAGTCGCGCACATGTGATGCTGGAAACCTACGCCTC